GCCGAGGGCGGATCCCATCTTCTTCACAGATGCGGACCTCCCCTCGGGCTCCCTGCCGCATAGGGATGCCCTCGTCATCCGCACTGAGATCAATGACGCCATCATCCACCGGACTTACGTCGACACGGGGAGTTCTGTCAACGTCATGTACCTCAGCACTTTTCAAGAGCTGGGACTCGACAGGGGGTCCCTTCGGCACATCAACACCCCCCTCTCCGGATTCACGGGAGACAGCATCGACGCCGAGGGCGTCATCACACTCATGGTCGAATTCGGCGACGGATCCCACAGAGCCAAGCTCGAAGTGGAGTTCGTCGTCGTCAACCTCGACTGCGCACATAACATCATCCTCGGCCGACCTGCCCTCGAAGATTTGGAGGCCGTCATCTCCATGAGGCACCTCTGCCTCAAATTCCCCACACCCACCGGCATCGGCTATTCGAGGGGGAATCAGAAACTCTCCAGGGCCTGCTACCTTCAACTTACCAAGAAGGTTAGTAAAACAGAGTTTCGTGTGGACACCATCACCACCAAGGCCTTGGAGGAGGAAGAAGGTAGGCCGAGGGCTGAGCCTGCCGAGGAGACCGAAGACTTGATACTCGATCCGGCCAAGCCGGAGAGAGTCCTGAAGATTGGAGCCAAGCTCCCCGAAGACTTGAAGGCTGGCATCGCCAAAGCCCTCCGCGCCTACTCCGTTGTTTTTGCATGGGGGCCGGAGGATATGCCAGGAATTGACCGAAGGGTCATCACCCACCGCCTAGCGGTGGACCCTTCGGCCAAACCAGTGCAACAGCGGAGAAGACCCCTCTCGGCCGAGAGGAGGGAGTTCGTGAAGAAGGAGGTGGCCATGCTCCTCTCCATCAAACATATCAAGGAGGTGAAATACCCCACTTGGTTAGCAAATGTAGTCCTTGCACAGAAGCCTCCTACCTTCCGCATGTGCGTGGACTACACTGATCTGAATAAGGCGTGCCCTATGGACCCCTTCCCTCTGCCAAACATTGATCAACTGGTGGATGAGACCGCGGGATGCGAGATCATGTCATTCCTCGACGCGTTCCGCGGATATCACCAAATCTACATGCATGAGGAAGACGCTGAAAAAACCGCCTTCATGACACCCGAAGGCATCTTCTGCTATCTTGTGATGGCCTTCGGCCTAAAAAATTCAGGCGCCACCTACACCCGAATGGTGGCCAGGGTCTTTCAAGCTGTCCTCGGACGCACCATGGAGGCCTATGTTGACGATATGATTGTCAAGAGCAAGAAGGCCGGCACTCACGCCGAGGACCTCCAGGAAATCTTCGCCATCATGCAAAAATTCAACCTCCGATTGAATCCAAAGAAATGCACCTTCGGCGTACAAGGTGGAAAATTCTTGGGCTATATGGTAAGCCGAAGGGGTATCGAGGCCAACCCCGAGAAAATTCAGGCCATCATCAATATGGAGCCTCCGCGCAACGTCAAAGAAGTTCAACGGTTGACGGGTCGCCTGGCGGCCCTCAACCGATTCCTCTCTAAGTCAGCCGAGAGGGCCCTCCCATTCTTCCAAATCATGAGGAAGACAGCTGGCTTCCAATGGACATCTGAGTGTCAGGAGGCCTTCGACGAACTTAAGAAGTACCTCTCTTCTCCCCCGGTGCTCTCCAAACCGAAGGTGGGGGAGACCTTATACTTGTATCTCGGTGTTAGCCCTGCGGCAATCAGCTCAGTACTAATCCGGGAGGAAGGCGGCGTCCAACATGCCATCTTCTACGTCAGCAAAACCCTCCGGGAGGCCGAACTCAGGTATTCTCCCGTCGAGAAGACGGTGCTAGCCATCGTTTGGACCGTCAAGAAGCTTGGCCACTACTTTCATGCTCATCCGGTCCAAGTGCTCACTCATCAACCCCTCGGCGCCCTCATGAGGAGTCCCACTAGCTCCTCTCGGATGGTGAAATGGGCCATCTTCCTCAGCCAATACGACATAGATATCCGTCCGAGGCCTGCCATCAAGGGCCAAGCCCTGGCAGACTTTGTAACGGAGTGCACCGCGAGATCAGCGGTGGATGAGGAGCCTTCGGCACCCCTTGATGAATGGTGGACCCTCTATACCGATGGCTCCTCGGCCACCAAGGCATGCGGAGGGGGAGTAGTCCTCATTGCACCCGAGGGCTTCCGCGCCTATTATGCCATCCGCTTCTCCTTCAAGGTCTCCAACAACGAGGCCGAGTACGAAGCCCTCCTATGTGGCCTTCGGCTGGCAGCAAATCTGAAGGCCAAGATGATCCACGTCAAGTGTGACTCCAAGCTGGTCGTGGGGCAAATTTCCGGGGAGTATGAGGCCAAGGAAGGGAGGATGAAACAATACAGAGAAGCGACTAAGGAGTTGCTCAAGGTGTTTGAGGCACATTCTCTTACCCAAATACCGAGGGCTCAAAACTCCAAGGCCGATATTCTATCCAAGCTTTCGGATGAATCCCCAGAGCACCTCTCCAAAATTGCGAGAATTGAGGAACTCAGCCTCTCAAGCATCCACGCGAGCCCCGTCAGGAACATTAACCTGAGGCCGGAGGATTGGATCTCCGACATCATCACCTTCATCACCACAGGGCAACTGCCCCAAGACGAGGCCCGCGCAAAATTAACAAAGCTGAGGGCTCCCAGCTACGCCATCGAAAACGGGAGGCTTTACAAGAGATCTTACAACGGCACCCTCCTCCGGTGCCTTCATCAAGATGAGGCCGAAGTCGCCATGGAGGAAGTGCACAGTGGCACTTGCTCGGCCCACCAGGGACCCTTCTCCATGTCCCGAAGGCTCATAGTTCAGGGCTACTTCTGGCCCACGATGGCTAGAGATTGTGCTGACCTAGCCCGAAGATGCACCGCGTGCCAACACTTTCAGAAGGCCCCCGGCAGGCCAGCGGTCAACTATGCTCCCATCAGCACCGCTATACCCTTCTCCAGATGGGGGATTGACTTAGTGGGCCCTCTGCCGAGGGGTACCTCCAACAACAGGTACATCATTGTGGCCATTGACTACTTCACCAAATGGGTAGAGGCCGAGCCCCTCGCCAGCATCACTGAGGCCCGGTGCCGCCACTTCGTTCTCAAAAATATTCTCACAAGATTCGGCGTCCCCCAACAAATCATCTCCGACAACGGGACTCAATTCGAGGCAGCCCCCTTCTGTGCCCTCCTTGAGGCTTGGGGCATCAAACACACATTCTCTTCCGTTGCCTACCCTCAGGGCAACGGGCAAGTGGAGAACGCCAACCGAACCCTACTTGAAGGATTGAAGAAAAAGCTGGAAGCCGAAGGGGGAGGCTGGGTAGAAGAGCTTCATAACATCCTATGGGCCTACCGCACCACCCCTCGGCGTGCAACAGGTGAGACCCCTTTCTCCCTATGCTATGGCTTTGAGGCTAAGGCTCCAACAGAAGTGACCCTTCCGACCCGAAGGGTGGAACAATATGAGCCCGAGGTCAACGACACCAACATGGCCCTCGACCTTCATCTCATCTCAGAACGCCGAGAGCAAGCCTTTCTCAGGGCTGAAAACTATAGGAGACAAGTCAAAGGCTACATCGACGCCAAGGTCCGCTCCCGGGAATTTCAGGTGGGCGACTACGTCCTCCGACGAAGGGAGGCCAGTCTACCCACCGAAGGAGGAAAGATGGCGCCCAAGTTTGAAGGCCCCTACGTCATCTCAACCATCATCAAACCAGGGACATACAAACTTAAACGTCCCAATGGGACGGAGGTCCCTAGACATTGGAATGTGCACCACCTTGTCAAATTCTATCAATAAGGCATGAGCGGCCAAGCCCTCATCCTCAGCAAGTGTAAATATCAATGGCCCAAGGCCCCATCTGTTTTTGAAGAATAATCAAAAGGCCAAGCCTTCATCACCTACATATTGTACAAGCGGCCCAAAGCCCCCCCCCCCCCCCTTCTCTCCTGCAAATGAGTGGCCAAGCCCTCATCGCTTCACCAAGATCGGCCCAAGGCCTCTCCCCCTCATGAGGGGGAACAACAATTTAGGTACTAAGTACCAAGTGTACGGGTCACCCCCATCACTCTGTGAAAACACCAAGTGTTTTCTCAAACTTTTACATGCCCTCCTAAAAAAAAAAAAAAAAAAAAAAAAAAAAAAAAAAAAAAAACCGGGGGGCATCATACCCTTCGGCTCCGGCTGGTACCAAGTGCCCCCGGCTATTTGTGTTCCACACACAAATAAAACCCTTCCCAGGAACGCTTTCCGCGCCATCCCCCAAGGGGAGGCAGGCAACGGACCATGTCCCGGGCCCAGGATTCGACTTCCACAAACGAAACGCTCCCCGCGCTATCCCCCAAGGGGAAGCAGGCAACAGACCATGTCTCGGGCTGAGGGGACGACTTTCAAAACCGAGGCGCTTTCCGTGCTATCTCCCAAGGGGAAGCAGGCAACAGACGATGTCTCGGGCCGAGGAAACGACCCTCAAACCCTTCGGGATATCGGAAGGTCATTCCCGAAGGGGGAGCCAACGGTTTGTTCCGTTGCCTCCCATATAGGCCAAGCCTTCCCTAGGAACCAAGTTCCTAGATGCCTCTCCTACACCATCTTAAAAAAAAAAAAAAAAAAAAAATAATAAATAAAAAGAAAGATGTGTAGGGGGGAAGGAACTCCCCGGATACTATTCTCCCCGGAGGCTCAACACTTCGGATATACATTCCCGAAGGCTCCTACAAAGGCACAAGAAAAACTCTCAACAACAAGTCATCTATGTGACATGCCGAAGGCTCCACAAAGTTCTAAGGCAAGCTGAACCTATATCTACACAAACCGGAGGCCTCATACCGAGGGCAGAAATCTACCAAACTCACTCAATGGTGAAAACTTTCCCAAGTCCACGAACGGGGAGCCCTCGGTGGGCAAACATGGGCTTCGCTACTACCGACAGGCTTAGAGTCGAAGGCTCTGCAACGTCGACGGCCTACGGTGATATTAGCTTAGAAAATTCCCTAAGTCTAATTCGTCGTAGCCCTCGGTCTCACTACTACAAACATCCGAAGGCTCATGTTCCACACTATGACCGGAGGATCATGGCAAAAGTTCTCACTTTGAAAATTTTCTAAGTCCACAATCATAAAACCCCCGGTGAGTCTACTCTACACCCGAAGGGTTCTGATCAGGTCGTACTTATGACATGTTCTAAGTCCACGACAACGAGCCTCCGGTGATTGCCCTATGACCGATGGCTCATTGCCAAGTTTACTTAGAAAGTTTTCAAGTCCACAGCGACGAGTCCCCGGCAACCCCAAACATACAACTGAGGGCTCGTGATACTACACTACAGCCGAGGGCTTGCGATGGGTTGCACTTAGAAATTTTTCTAAGTCCACAAACTTGCGGCCTTCGGAAAACCATGCGAGAGAAGGAAAGAATACATAGTAAAGAAAGGCATACATTCATAAAGGAAAAGAACGAAGGCAAACGAAACTTGAAGAAAAATGAGGCCTTCATTCATATAAAAAGCCCGAAGGCAACCATTCATTTCGACAGGAAAAGTTGTTCAAGTGAATTTCGTTACAAAAGTATGGCCGAAGCCGGGCCCTATAAACTATTACAAAATTTATGCTACATCCTCCTTAGCCTTCGAGGCGGCATCATCACCAACATCTTCCTCATCATCCGAGGCCAGCCCGTCGAGCTCTGAATCCTCCAGCAGCTGTCTCTCCTCGCCCTCGGGGAGGGGAACCCGGATGTCTGGAACCAGCGGGGGAAGGCCGTGGGACTCAGGTTTGAAATCTTTCGGGTCAAGGCCGTGGTGCCGGGCCAGCCTCCGGTACAACATTGCTTGGGTGAAGTATTGGCCCCCCTCATAGAACGACTTACCCTTCCGGGCTAGCCACATAGCCCCGGGGCCTGTTACCCACTCTTCGACGACTTCCGGGATCACCGACGCCATCCACTCCTTGTGGCCCTCAGCCCTCCATTCCCCAGCCTTGAAGGCGTCAACAGCCCCCTTGACAGCCTCTGCTACTGCCTCCTTCTTAGCGGACTCGGCGGCTTCGGCGGTGGCTTTGGCGGCCTCAGCAGCATCCTTCTCCGCTTGAGCTTTTCCCTCGGCCCGGGCCTCCTGCTTCGCGGCCTCCAGTCTCTGGTCAGCCTGCCGGAGGGCCTCTTCCAAGCCGGCCAATTGCCTGATGGCTTCGGTATTGTTGGCGACGAGTTTCTTCATGGCCTCGTCGGACTTTGCCTTCTCAAGGCGGTGCTGTTCCGCCCTCCTAACAAGCTCCCCGAAGGCCACGCTAGCCTGCAAGACAGGGAAGAGGGGCGGTCAAGGTCAGAATATACAAAAGGAAAAAGACACAAGGGCAAAACATTTCAGAAGAATGAAGCACTTACAGTGACTGAAGCCTGGAGAGCCTTGAGCTCGAGGGACTCATTCGCGAACCTGCCAAGAGTGGAGCGATCGAGCGGGGGGGTGGCACCTCTCAGGAACTCCCTCGGATCGAGGGTGCCGTGCATAAGGGCAGTCCCCTTCTTAATGGGAAACTGCACATTCTCCAAGGGCCAGGCACCCTCGTCAAATTCCTCCGGGAGGGCGGAGGCTGAATGAGGACCCGAGGGAAGGTCATCGATGATTACAACCGGGGGAGCCTTCTCCCCGGCACCCCCCCTTGCCTTCTTCTTTTCCGGAGGCTTTAAGCCCTTCCCGGCATTTTTTCTTTTAAGCTCCGCGGCCTTGGAACCTCCGTCAGCAATAGCTTGCGAGGGCCCCTCACCGTCGCGGTCCTTCGCCCCCTCCGGCTTCTTGAAGAATTCATCTGCAGCCCTTTGAGTTGGGGGCCCCACGTCCTTCTTCTTCTCCTTGGCCAGTTGCTTTGAAAGCTTAGCAAAGGCTTTCGGGTCCATGATGCCACCTGCAAGGGGTAAAGGAGAGTTAGAAAGAGGAAACAAACCAAAGACAAAAATGATTAAGTACCAGAATCAGAGCCCCTCGGCAACAACCTCTAGCACCCGGGGGGGCCCGGTCAAGGAGGGGGTATCTCTCATCCTTCTCCCCCGGCAAGCGATACCGCTGAAATTCGAGTTTGAGCAACTCCTCCGGGAGCGTGGCGGCCTTGATAGTCGTCAGCTTTTCTGAACCAGGCGGCTTCGCCTTCAGCTTTTTCCCATTGCCTTCAAGGGCAGCATTGCCCACCTTAGGGTGTCTCTGAAAATGGTTGCGAAGGGGCCTCGGGAAGGTCACTCCCGGCATCCTGAGGTAACAGAAACGGTCCTTCCATCCCTTGTGGGACGAAGGCACCTCCGAGAAAAGCCTCCATGCCGGCAATTGTTGGAGGTTGGCGAAGCCCTCGCTATTGGCAGCCCCCCCTCGACACAGGTTGAAAGATAGGAAAAATTGATCCAATGTGGGGACGACCCCTCGGCTTCGACATTGCGAGAGAAACCCTGTGATATACGAGTGACTATTCGGGGTCAGCTGGCAAGGAGCGAGACCCACGAACCGAAGGTATTCCACCAGAAAAGGGTGGAGCGGGAATCGGAGACCCAACTCCACCGAAAGGATGTGCACCGCGTAACAGCCCTCTGGAGGATGCAATAGCACATCGTCAGGCCCCGGAACCACTACCTGTGCCGACGGGCCAACCAACAATTGAGTTTTGAGATACTCCGCCTCCCCGGCCTTCGTTTTCAATTCGAGGGCGGCGGTGTTGAGATACGAGTGGCCCTCGGGTATTCCCACCGGCTGACCCGCGTCAATGGCAGCCTGCTTCTTTTTCGGGGCCGCCTGGGTCTTCTTCTTCTTTTTCCCGGGAGCGACGCTTATCGGTTCCGGATCTAGGGGCCGGGAGCTACTGGCTTCGCCGGCGCCACGGAGGGGGAGTGCGGCGACGGTCACCTTCAGCCGCTCTTTCTCCTCCTCTTCCTCGGCGACTTGGAGTGCGAGGGCAAGCTCTTCGTCTTCCTCCATCTGCTCGAAGTCCTCCGCCTCCAACTCAGTCCGAAGGGTGTCTTGGACTTCCTCGGCGATGGCAGCGTCATTGTTAACCGACGATTGGTCACTTGAGGACTCAACCTCCGAATAACTCTCCGATTGGACCGGGGCCTCCACGGAAATATCCTGGGAGTCGCTGGCAGAAGACATCTTATCGACAGCAGGGAAAGGGAACAATGTAAGAGAACTAACCGAAGGCTCCTAAGTATTCCCTAACACTAGATCTAAGGCCAGTGAAGCGAAATACGCCAAGTGTATGAGAAAGGAGGAAGAACTGACCTCAAAAATTGCGTTTGGTCGAAGGCTGAAGTTTCTCTCTCTAGAAAAAATGGCAGAGCTCCGCTATCTCTCTAAAGTTCGCGCAAGAACAAATGAGCTCAAACTCAGGGTATTTATAGGCAGATGGGCCTCGAGAACTGGGCCTCAACTCGAAAGCCCATCATTACAGGCCGCCGATTCGACCAATGGAGGACCGCCGCTCCCCCCAGCCAATAAGGACACTCCACGTCAACCCCTCTTCCAACGGCCATATTGCAACGGCTATATTTCGGCAACACGGGGGTGCCCTCGAAGGATAGCCTCCGGCTATCACCCGCCACATCCTTCGGACAACGAATTCCACCAAACGCCTTCGAGCCGTAGCAGCATAAGCCTTCGGCTTATCAATGTTGCCACCCCTCGGGGGCTCATCAACTCATCATAACTCCTTCAGCCCGAACTCGCCTTCGGCCTGAAGGAGTGGGGGACTGGGATACACCCCTCGGGGATCATACACAACAAAAATTTCTTCATGCAACTATTTACAATTGGCGCATACGGCCTCCGGGCAAACATCACAGTACAACCCCTCGGGTATATGCCTCAACATACCCTTCGGCAGTGGCCGAGTATCAAAAGGTTTCCACGAGCCGCTTGCGGAAATGAAGCAGCCCTCATCACAACACATACGGATATTATTTACGCCTCCCTCAGAAAACCCCCGACATGTGGGGGACTGAGGAGAGGCTCCGGCGTTCATACAAGTGTTATACTTCCTTCAGAAAACCCTCGACATGTGGGGGACTGAGGAAAGCCTTCTGCGACCATACAGGTGTTAAACTGCCCTCAGAAAACCCTCGACATGTGAGGGACTGAGGGTAGCCCCCGGCGAACGAGCGAAGGTTATGAATACCTTCCCTCAGAAAACCCTCGACATGTGAGGGACTGAGGGGAGCCTTCGGCAATCAGCAGAAAGCAAGTTCTCGAGCAAAGGCGCCCAACTAAACGATGGAGCCTCCGGAAGAATCAACACATCTACTCCTTTTCCCTCAAGTACCTTTCGGCAAAAGGAGTGAGGGACTCCTGATGGAGTATATGGTCCAGGAACCCCCGGCCCATAGACTCCTACTTCTCCTACACAAGTCCGTTGGGCTCAGGGAACAACTCAGGCCCAAATACAACGGCCCAAGCCTCAAAGTAGCCCAGAATACACGCTGGGGTGCCTTCGGCCTCCTTGGCCGAAGGCTCCAAAAATCACAGAATAGCCTTCTCTGGCATAAAAAGCTACTGAGAGAAAACGGCAAAAAACATGAGCCTTCGGCATTTTCATGCCTTCGGCTACACAGGGAGCCCTCGGCTACACCAGGAGCCTTCGGCCGAACTGGCTCAATCGTCGAAGATTCCTTTTGGAGACAGCCAACCACCGCATTTAATGCCACGTCACATCCACCAGCCGCATTCAATGCGGTAAACGTACCACTGCCGGTGCCAACCGGTTGATGTGACCCTTCGGCCGTTGGATTATTGACACGTGTCCCCTCATCGCATTTATTGCTGCTATAAATAGCGGCCCATTTCTCCTTGTAATGGACATGATCTACATCCCAACTCCACATCTCGAGTTCATTTAATAAAATCGACTCTCTCTCCTCCTAGTTTGCTCTGGCTTCTCTCTAGTTATTCCCACAATAACCCCTCGGATAAGATACCCCCCGGGTAGACTGTCCATCAATAACATACTCCCTCCGTCCCATTGGACTTTGTCAACTTTCCCTTTTGGTTGTCCCAAAAAACTTTGCCACTTTCCTATTAAAGCAACTAATTTGTGGTTCTGCACATTTCCTTCTCCTCTGCACAAATTTCAACCACATAGTTTTTACTATTCTAATTTTTCACCTACTTTTCACTTGGCAAAGTCTACCGGGACGGAGGTAGTATAATTCAATCATTACTTACGTGATATGACTCAGAGACAAAGCAAAGACAATATATCTTATTGTTACGAATGTATATTCAATAGCCGATTCTTTTCTCGTGAGGAATTCTGATATTAAGCCAGGTGAGAGAGGAACTACAAAATTCCAGGATAAGGCAACGAGTCTCATTTGAGGCACCCACCAGCGCGAGAATCCGTCGACTAAACCCATATAAAACAAGTTTATAATATAATTGACTTACATAACAAATCTATAGCTCTATTAGCTTAGTTTCATTTTAACTGTCATTTTTCTAAGCTATATACTATCTTCCGTTTTTTTAATCGCAACATGTTGAATTTTACACTATTCACATGTTCTACTATGACTACATTTTACGCTATTATTTTATGAAAATTATTTTTTTTTAAAAATATTGTTCAATTCATCTCATTACAAATTTTCAAAATCTGATTTTTAAGTTTTTCTTACTAATAGAGATTAAGATATAATTACGGTCAAAGACGTGCGTTGGCAAGTGTGAAATGTTGACCGTTGCAACTATAAAAGAACGGAGGAAGTATGAAATATTCAAATAGGGTATTGTCCCAAAACGATTTATTACTCTCTGCGTCCAAAAAAGATTAGTCCATTTGACCTTCTTGATCAATGTTGTTAAATTTTAGATAATGATTTCAGGCATTATATTTGTTTGTAGTTTATAAATTTTGTACTTTCATGAAAGATTTTTTTAAAGAATATAATCATATAATTTTTGTATTTTAAATAATTTTGCATGAAAAATATCATTGGTCAAACTTGACCACCATTGATCAAGAAAACTCATTTTGGCCAATATTTTTGGGACGAAGGGAATATTCCATTTTGTATATAGTTGAGCTTTGACCCCTTGAGTCGTTTTTCTGTCTCCGTCACTGATTGCACATAGTATGCGAGAATACATGCAAGAGTATTTTTTTACGGTGCTTATTTTTTTGACAATTATTAGCATAGTTTTTTAGAAATTTTAAACAAGCAAGTCTGAATAACTTAAATCAATGCCAACTATGAAGCTTTTACCCATTTCTATGGGTGCTTCTATTTCAATTTTTACTCTCAACTCTGCTATGTTTTTTTCTTTGTTCATTGATGTGTTCACTCTTAAGTAAAAGTTTATTGCATGCCCAATGTGGGTCCTATCTTTGTTTTGGTATACTTTATTTTGTTTGTAGTGAATTCAAAATGAACCAAACCATTTAAAATAAATAAAAAGTAGACTGAAAAATCTATTAAAACATGAATTACACACTATCATTTCAATTTTATAAATCAAACTTCAAACCAAATCAAACTCAACCATTCCAAAACTGAAGCCATACAGGAATGCATTTGGTTTCACTTTGGTACTGCTTTCCTTAATCTCTTTTCTTAGTTGCCAGTTGGATTTGCAACATGGAAAATTCTACACTAGTCACATACTCTATTTTGATTATTTTTTATTTATTAATGTATATTTTTCTTCAATAAATATTGTTGAATTTGTCTCGTTCCGAATTTTCATTGTCATATATGATTTTAAG